TAACAGCGACTCGGCAGCTTCCCGTGTCTCCATGAAAAAGGGATATTCAGAGTACACTTAGAATTTTTTCTACTTCTACAACATAAATTTCATATTCTTCTGCATAATAAGGAAAGCTTTTCTTTTCTCTTAGGACGCATTTGCTCTACTGCAGGTTCCCTCCGTTCTTCTACTGCGCGTTGCCCCATAACTACACGTTCTTCTCCCTCTTGCCGAGGATAGTCTATGAAGTCTCCATCCTCTTTTTCCTCCTCGGCTTCTTCCAGTTCTAGCGGAATTAAGGTATTTACCGGCCTCCTTGTTGTCCTACCATTGCCCATTTTGAGTTCCACCTGTCTAATCTCTTCCTTTGCCGTACTTCCGTGTCTTGTTATTCTTCCCAATTTCCACGTATTCCTGGGAAGAAATGGGTCTTGCAGTAGGACCACTTGCCCTACTCGTGGCTTCTTGGGCGAACTTCGACCTTGGTTAAGATTTCGAGTATGTTGCTCCCTCAACGAAGTTAGGTATGAGTCCTTCCACAGCTCCCAGAAACGTTCCGCAACTTCATATGAGGCTTTTAAGGCTCTTCTGCTTCTCGTCTAGCTGTAATTTGAACGGCTTCTGCCGGTGGTGAGAAATTGTGGTGCATCGTTTTGCGTGTCCTCCATCAAGTAGGTGATAACTATCGGTTTTGGAGAAAGTCTACCGTCCGAATAGAGACTAATTCACCAAAATCTCTTTCTGATATGTGAGCGATCTATTGTTGAGACTTCCTTCTATCTCTATCAAGATAGTCCTCAATGCATCTTCATCAAGAATTTTTCTACCGAACGCTTTGTATAATGCCTGCTTGACATCCTTTATAAGAGGTTCGTAGAATCCTTGCTATGGCGCATATGGCGTGATTTTCCGCTATTTGATGTGCGCGCTAGCCATGAATTGTTCACTTCGCCTTTTCCTTCAACGCTTTGAAGGAAATCTGTAAGAATACGCTCTGCAAGCACGAAGGTAGGCGCATTATCACAAGTGATAGACTGCGGAACTCCCCTTCGTGA